CTTCTTCTTCTTCTTCTTCAAAAGACAGTAGAGTCTACTGCAGTGCCCAAGAACAACGAGCTCTTCCCCAAGCAATGTATTTATTGCCACAACTGTGGATCCTTGAAGTTCTGCAAGAAACATAGGTTTTGCTCAGATGTTGAGCTGTCCAAATCAACTTCACCTTTCTGTCCTATGAAAGAGAGAACTTTCCAGAACTGGAGTCTGTTTTGGTGCTTAGGTGCAAAGGTAATCTGGGATGTGTCACAACCCCTCCTCGGTTTTCAGTGTCCTCTGGCCACTGGTTCAGCTTTGTGATCTGAGCTCACTTTTCATCCCCCCCCCCATTCTTCCTCAGAAGGAATTACAACTGTAATTCTTTAGAATGGTTGACTTATGCACTGTAAAATTGAGAGCTTTGGTTCCAGGAAAATATGTCTGCATTGGTCGAATTTGTCGAAACACGCAATTTTTGCCTAGGAGGTGTGTTGCTTGCTTTGATGCTTGCTGAAACACTTCATGTGGAAAATACAACTGACTGCTGCATTTCTCATGCCTGCTTTGATGCCTGCTGAATTACTCTTTGTGGAGAATATAACAGCCTGCTGCATCTTTCATCATTTATGACTGTTGCAACTTTCATCAGTCCTTTATCAGGAGCAAGATAGTCTACAGCATTGGAATACGTCTTTGTAGCTGTGGGCTTTTCTATTAGTAGATACAATGTACTTTAGGTTTTTGTATGTGTATAAGATATACCAGAGTCTTTATTGCAAGTAAATCAATATATGAAGATACAAGTACATATTAGTAGAAGTGTGTTTTGTTCTATCACGGTGTTTCTTTATGGTTGTCTAAGAATCAATAAGGTCTGGTGTGTAAAAGCTTTTTTTCCCCCCCCCCCCCAAATTCTTCCTCAGAAGGAATTACAATTTTCCCCTTTGGCAAGCTAGCAGCAAAGCAAAACGGCCTGTGGTGAAACAAGGGTGAGATTCCATGTGGTCTTTACTAAGCCACATCCCCAAAGATTCTCAGCGTAATAATACTTGAACACATATGAACACCACCGGGCAGAATTAGCAAAGGTGTTTCCAGCTTTACTCTGTCTCAACCACTCTGTGAGCCACTTAACTTCAGAAGGGGGCCCAGACATCCTTGGGCAGTTGGCCTGATTACCGTGGAGTGTGTGGTTTGTGGACTGTGGTCTCAGACTGGCGAGCCAACCAGATATGGTAACTCCTTTCTACTGGGGCAAGTGGGCTTTAAGGTAAGGTTATTTTAATTCATTTCCTTTAAAACTATGGGACAAATGCCTGTGAGGCTTTTATCAGCAGGATTTATTTCCATTGGTTTATTTAAAATATTTATTTTTAGAAACAGAGAGAGAGAGAGAGAGAACACCAGTGTGATGTTAAAGTGTCAGACTAGGATCTGGAAGGGCTGTGGTGGCTCAGAGGTTAAGATGCTGACCTGCAGACTGGAAGGTCGGCAGTTCGAGACTTCCATTCACCTTGGTGTTTATGCGGCCCAGTTCCAGAGTGTTTATTGAGATGTTTGCTTATGTTACTGTTAATGTAACTTTTAAAACAAATATAATATTAATTATTAAAAGTATGGAATTGAAAACTTTTTTAAAAAAATTATTTGTTATTGGTTTTGTCAAAACCATTTTGGCAACAAACAAGGTAAACAGAATAAGAAGCAAAAGGTGGGTGTGGCTGGATGACCACACTTCTGGCAACATGGGGTGTTGCCTAATATGCTAATGAGGTCTGCTGTCATGGGGTGTGGCCTAATATGCTAATGAGTTTCTGCTGTTGGGTGTGGCATATTATGTTAACGAGTTCCTGCTGGGCTTTTTCTACAAAAAGAGCCCTGCTATTCCAAATGTACATGGAACAAATCAGTCTCTAAAAATGTGTGAGGAGAATACACATTCTCTTCTAGGCCATGTAGGCTTCACTTGGTCAGTGCCTCTAAGAATATGTAAGGGTTAGGGTTCAGGGTGTTAAATATTGTCTGACTTTTATAGGAATTGTGCTGAATGCCAGGCAAAGGTAAAGAACCAATTTGCTCCTAGTTTCTGACCTGCTGACTTGATCCTTTGCAGGAAAATTCTCGAAGGTGGGATGAGCACCCAGAAGACATGCGTGTGTGAGGGATGAGTTCACTTTCTGGCTTGAACAAAACAGCTTCTTAAAGCATCTTCTGACCTCAGCTAGAGAACAGAAAAGAAAATTGTTCCTTCAAGTGGAGTGTAGCATCTACGGAAAAAGACATCTGGATGCACCATGGTGGTGCAGAGTAACCTGGACATTGGAGAGAGTAGGAAAGGGGTCTTGCTCGAGCCATTTGTCCACCAAGTTGGAGGCCACATGAGCATGATGAAGTATGATGAGCACACCGTCTGCAAGCCTCTTGTTTCCCAGGAACAATGGTTCTATGAGACTCTCCCTACCGCGATGAGACAGTTCACACCTCAGTACAAAGGTAGGGCCTAAACTCCAGTCTTAAATGTATGCATTAGGGAGGAAGTCCCACTGGATTTTGAATAAACCTAATTAAGAACAGGATGCAAGATTCCAGGGAATGGATTTGCACTCTCTAGCTGGTGTGATAGGAATCAGCGACAGTCGCTTCTAGACTAACTGTATCACTGAGGAGTTATCATGAGAACTTCCCCAGTTGCCAGACCAAAGGCAGGGGATGTTTGGAGTGAATAGAGGGTGTGGTTCTGGCTTTGTCAACAATGTATTGGGAGCCCATCTAGCTCACCATCTTGTCCCTTCCCTGCTCAGGATAGCCCCCCAGTAAGATTATTGGCTGACTAAGCTTGTAACAGAATTATTTATGTTCTGTATTCTACTGCAGACATCAGCACTGTGAAAGTGGTACTTGAACAGGAGGTGTGCAAGAGACAGTGTAGTGTAGCGATTGATGTATTGGGCTAGCCCTGGGCAGACCCAAGTTCAGAACCTCATTTATTATGGAACTCACTGAGCAGCCTTGGGCCAGGTGTGCTCTCTCAGCATAACTTACTTCACATGGTTGTTGTAAAGATAAACTTGAAGAGGGGACAACCATATATGCTGCCATGGCTCTTTGGAGGAAGTGTGGAATAAAAACGTCATGAATAAATAGAGCTGGGGCATCATGTGAGCACAACTAACAACTGCATAGTTGGTAGTTAACTTGACTCCTTATCATAGTAAACAAAGCCTAAAAAACTATCGCTGTTGAAAAAACCTCGGAAACATGTGGCCCAGTAGTTGCTAGATGTTTATGAAGGAAAGGAAATCTGAGTGAAGAGCAATAACGAGGTCATTACATTTTTTTAGTATCTATGAAGCAAGACTGAGATAGCTGAGGTAATCATTGCACTAGTGTTTCTTAATTGGGCCCCTGTGAAATTCAGAATAGATGTACTGAGCTAAGGAAGGGAAGAACATTACTAGTGCCAGGTTCCTACCAGAAGTCAGTATTCTGAGTCTGAGGCTCATGTTGGAGGAGAATGGGCGTGGTGTAGTGGACATAGTATTATATTTGAATGGGAAAGATCTGGGTTCCAGCCAGATCCAACCCCTAAACACACAGGGGAATTTCAGACAGCCCATATATTCTGGTACAGGAATGATTCCCTAATGGTTTCTGGTCTGACATTTCAGACAGAACCGTTTTAGTAACAGTTACCTACCGGAATATATTTTCACTTTCAGACAGAAATGCTTCTGTCCCATTCAGGAAACGTGGCTGAAGCGTTTTACCTGTAAACTGCTTCCAAGCGGTGTTCAATTTGTACCGTTTCTGAAGTGCGATTTCCCACCCTTTTTCGCCCACGCGGGTGATCTCCATCTTTTTAAAAATGTTCGTTTTAGAGGGAATGAGGGAAATAATATAAACAAACATTAATAGAATTTAGAGTTGGCTATTCTTTTGTCCATTGGTGAAGACTCCATGAAGGCTATTTTGTAATATGTTTTCTATAGGTGACTGTTACTTGATTTGAGTGAGACTCTAGTAGTATATGGAGAAAGACTCCTGCTGCGTACGAAATCATGATGTTGCCCATTGTATTTTAATGTGAGTCCAACTTCAACCCACTTGCCTCCCTGTCCTTTATACCTGACCCAGCTCTGTGCCAGTCACTTCCCAGCCAATTGCCTCTTGGCATGGATGGGTGCACATCAGGTTGGGTTAGCAACATCTGTCTCACCAATTAGTGATGCCCTGATCTCCCACTTGAAGGCTGTATCCAATGGGGTACTTGTTTCCAGGTGGCAGATGTAGCCATCTCATATATCCCAGTGGAGTCCTGGCATTCCAATGGGGTTGCTATAGTGCTGTTCTGGTGTTGCGTTATAGCGCTATAGTGCTCTAAAATGAACATTAAAAAAAGACGGAGGTCACCCGCGCGGGCGAAAAAGGGTGGGAAAAAGCAGTGTAGTCTGAAATGCCAAACTGCTTCAGAGACGGCTCTTTACTGGTAGGGGAAAGGCTTGTGTGAAATGGCAGCCCTCTACCGGTTTACTCCAAGATGGATCAATAACGGCTTAAAACCGGCTTTAAAAGGGTAATGTGAAGTTCCTTGGAGTCTGACCACATACAAGCATGTCTGGCTGCTGGCACTCACAGAGGATAAAATGGGATAACTACATGTAAACTGTCTTGAGTCCTTGGAGGAAGAACGAGGATCAAATTAAATAAATAAGGTATTACCGATTATGAAAGACAGTTTTACAGAGTGAGGGGGTGAGATAATGTTATCAGCATGAGGGAAATAATATAAACAAACATTAATAGAATTTAGAGTTGGCTATTCTTTTGTCCATTGGTGAAGACTCCATGAAGGCTATTTTGTAATATGTTTTCTATAGGTGACTGTTACTTGATTTGAGTAAGACTCTAGTAGTATATGGAGAAAGACTCCTGCTGCGTACGAAATCATGATGTTGCCCAATAAGCTCACAGCTTATTGCTTTGTAGGTAGAACCACCAAATTAGGCAAGGCAGAAGGTCAAAATCTTACACCATCTACACAGTTACAACTAGGGAATTTTAGTCCTGTTTTGTGATGGGTATTTTATGCAACTGAATTAAGAACGTGAGAAACCTGGAAGCCAGGAGGGGGAGGTTCAAGCTGTTTTCAAAGATACAGAAACAGGAAGAAGAAGGGAAGCCCGTTTACAACTAATTGATGGGATCTTTCCAGTCTGTCCTATTTAGAATTTTTGTCCCCTGACACTGCAGTTCTCTCCATTACTGTGATTTGTGTTTGTAAGACCAGTTGGAATCCTTCGTGTTGCATTTCTCCTTGAGGACACCATCTGCGTATATGACACCTCCCATCATGAGATACTGTCTCCTACTCTCAGAAAAAACAGGCTTACATCTGAATGTCTCTGGAAGACCTAATTATTGATGCAGTGTCTCTGCAACCAATCCCAGACTTTCTTATTTCTTATGGCATGGTGCATAAATTTCAGCAAGCAGTTTGGCTTGAAAGACACCAAGCTATCTCCACCCTGCCCTTCATTTTGACTACAAAGCTTACAGCCCCCAAAATCTGAAATTTGTCTAAGGATGTAAATGGATCTGCACTACTCATATTAGTGAGGCTTTCAAATGATTGCCTGCAAATGGATGCATACATGTGCATGGTTACCGGCAAGCAGCATACTCATGGTACAGCATACAGCATACTCATAGTAAAGACACACAAACACACATCTTAATGAGAAGAACCTTAAGTTTACAATACTATACAATACTATGGCTAATACTATACAATACCATGGCCTTGTAAGCCACCCTGAGCCTGCTTTGGTGGGGATGGTGTGGTATAAATTAAATAAAGAAAGAAAGATCACATTGCCATTTGCTGATGCTTTGCTCTTCCTTGCTTTATAAGAAGAGGGGTCTTTAAGAGCAGGAATAATGTGGCACAGGAAATCCACACAGCGACAATACTTAAGTAGTGTACATCTGCTACATTGGTACTAGCCTTGCCTCCACCTTCCCCAATGTAGGCTCAACATGAGCATAGTGTTGATTATAGAGGCTGGTGCATATATGATACAAACCTGATCCCTGAAAAACCTCCAGTATCAATGTGCCTTTATTAACTCAATCAATCAATGCTCCTTGTTTTACAAGTATATGATTCCAGAATAGCAATCTTAGTCATCTGTCTGTGGGTGTAAATGTCTGAAGAGTATTTCGTGCCAACAGAATGTAATTGTGTTGTGTTGCCATTCCCTTGCAGTTTAGACATACTGACACTGATACTGATACTGACAGAAAGCTTTTGATAAAGTTCCTCATCAAAGGCTCCTAAGTAAGCTCAAAAATCATGGGATAAAAGGACAAGTCCTTTTATGGATCAAAAACTGGCTAATTAATAGAAAACAGAGAGTGAGTATAAATGGGAAATTTTCGCAGTGGAGGGTGGTAAGCAGTGGGGTACCGCAGGGATCAGTACTTGGTCCACTGCTTTTTAACTTGTTCATTAATGATTTGGAGATGGGAGTAAGCAGTGAAGTGGCTAAATTTGCAGATGATACGAAGTTGTTCAGGGTGGTGAAAACCAGTGAGGATTGTGAGGCACTCCAAAGGGATCTGTCAAAGATGGGCGAGTGGGCGTCAACATGGCAAATGGGGTTCAATGTGGCCAAGTGCAAGGTGATGCACATTGGAGCCAAAAATCCTAAATATAAATACACATTGATGGGGTCTGAACTGGCAGAGACTGATCAAGAGAGAGATCTTGGAGTTGTAGTAGATAACTCACTGAAAATGTCGAGACAGTGTGTGACTGCAATAAAGAAGGCCAATGCTATGCTGGGGATTATTAGGAAGGGTATTGAAAACAGATCAGCCAATATAATAATGCCCCTATATAAATCAATGGTGAGACCTCATTTGGAATACTGTGTGCAGTTCTGGGCACCACACCTTAAAAAGGATATTATAGCTTTGGAAAAAGTGCAGAAGTAGTGTACATCTGCTACATTGGTACTAGCCTTGCCTCCACCTTCCCCAATGTGGGCTCAACATGAGCATAGTGTTGATTATAGAGGCTGGTGCATATATGATACAAACCTGATCCCTGAAAAACCTCCAGTATCAATGTGCCTTTATTAACTCAATCAATCAATGCTCCTTGTTTTACAAGTATATGATTCCAGAATAGCAATCTTAGTCATCTGTCTGTGGGTGTAAATGTCTGAAGAGTATTTCGTGCCAACAGAATGTAATTGTGTTGTGTTGCTATTCCCTTGCAGTCTAGACATACTGACACAAACCCCTCATGAAATGCATGGAGACCGTTCCAGAACTTCTTTAATTTCATTGATCAGCAATAATATGATAGTTTATTAGTGAAACCTGCATAGGATTTCCGAGCAGAGCTGGGCCTGGTACTTTGAAGCTGATCAGGGAGAAATGGGTACCTGTCAGCTAGTCTCTCTGCCAAGTATAGGTCTCAGAAACCA